GAGGCATAAACTCGTAATGAGTTGGATTTGCTGATTAAATAAATAAATGTCAGTTTATTGAAACTGTGGCATCTAGGAGGCTGGTTCCAGTCGGATTTGGTTATTCGACTGATTCGTTGATTTATTTATCCGCATGATCGTCATTCAATCTCCTGGTTTTTCAATTTGTTCGTATGATCACGCTTCATCTATCTAGTATTCCTTACCGTTATCATGTGTTTTTTAAATAGGAAAAATCAACAAAATTCAAGCCTTTCATTGTCATAAGGCAGCGATTCAAAAACCGAATTCACATTTTGACAATCACAAATTCAACATTCATCAGTCGAAATCTGACCAAATTCACACTTTGATATTACGAATCTCAGAATTCCGGCCGAAATTCATCAAATTTTTGCAAACGAACTTCAATCGGTTCCCACCACTTCCCATCGCTGTCAACGGGTGCTTCCTAATGGAAACGGAGAATCAAAGAATCTTATATCCGTAAACTATTGATAATCGTTAATTGAGTTACGCTTAATCAGCTCACACTTGAGTTCTATGCAAATAAATTTTGTAGGAAACTGTACAGTCGAAAAAACTTTGAACGGTATATTTTCACCAAGCAAATTAAAATTGTTAAATTTTTTTGCTTGAGCTTTTTAGAATGCTACTCTTTGTTGGAAAATTTTGCCAATTTATGTTTTACTATGAAGTTCCTGTTTTTGACTGCATGATTCAAATCTCTCTGATATTTAAGTAACAAAAAGAATAAATAGCAGTGAAAATTTTATTCTGATGATTCGATTCATTGATAAACAATATCTTTTTTGTAAATCAAGTTTCGTGAAGTAGCACAGCAGCAGACTGTGATGAACAAAACTTTAAAGGACCGCAATGAGCATTCATGCATATCTTTTAATTTATTATGCGTTGTATTACTTCCCGTGCCCACTCTACATCACCTTAATGCTTTACGATGTCTGCTGATAGAAAGCAATCGAAGCTTCTTTACTAGAAATGATGCTGCCGTGTCATTTACTTTTATGAGAATCAGCACTTAATCATTACACTGGTATTTCAATGCATGACACCATGTAAACTTAGAAATTGACCATCAATTTATTGAAATGTTCACATGGTGTCATGCATTGAAATGCACTCGTCTTTGTGCATTTCAACGCATGACACCATGTGAACATTCCGCATGAAAAAAAACGAAAGACAAGTCTCAACCCCACTACACTCCATGTTTTGCAGTTTCATTTTTCATTTTCGACAAGTTTCACCTTTCAATGCATAACTGATATCATTTGAATTGATGGTCAATTTCTAAGTGCTTTTGATTGAGTAAAGTAGGATATCTTCATAGGTATAACGACGGAACTTCATTTTGGCTTGCTGACTGACAATGAATTAGTTGGTGGTGATATAAACAGTGCAGGTTAAAGTCTGTGGAAACGTTTACGTGAAGATTTTTCGTTGCCGCGTACCGATAATAAATCAATTAAAAATTGTGAATTAGACAGAATTTGATCAACGGAATAAATAGATCATAAAATTCGAGGTAAAACATCAAGGACGATCAATAAGCATATCAAAAGTGTGAAAACAATCAGTGCTATCCACCACAGTACTCGTTCCCATCGCTTTTTACGGAAATTTCGGAGCACAATAATACCCATTAAAATACCGGCCAAGAAACCACCGATATGAGATACATAAGAGACCTGTAATATGACGATTAAAATTTAAATCGTTAACCAAATAGTAAACATCTACAAATGTTCAAATGAGTATCTCCAATAACGAAGTTTATTCGACTTGGAATACAACGAGAAATAAGGATAAAGGAAAATGAAGAAGTTTGTGAAGGGTTGAAGAGAAGGAAAAATGAGAAATAGTCAACCTTATCCACAATGTCAATGTAATATCGTTGATAAACGGCAACACCAATATCAGAAGATATCAATGTGATCAAAACAACACATCGGATTATAGCAAATTCCATTTCCGACCAATTCATTACTAATTCTGATATATGTGCTGCTAATAAAGCATACACACCACCCGATGCACCAGCCAAGTACGTATTTGGATCGACAACAGACACGCATAATGATCCTTAATTAGTTATTTGTATCATCAACATCACTCATACTACCGTTATTATCGTCATCATTTTGATATGTTTATGCTGTGGTATCACCATAATCAAAATCACTATTCAAGCACAACTCTGCTCGATTATTTAGTTTTGAATGGTTCTCCTCTGTGTTCTTAAGCATCTGAGTAGAATTGTTATTGCACTTAAAAGCATTAGCGGTCATAACGTCGCAGATCCCAGTTTTAATGATAACAATAACACATTAGTATCATTACTACCATCGAATAACCGTACACCAACGTTACGTGGCTAATAAAAATAATAAGAACATATCGAAATAGCAGAAGAACGAACCGGCCATGACTCCGCTAAGATAAACCAGTGCAACTCGCCATTGTTTATGGACCAGTTCAAGAGGAACACCGAGTAATATTTGTGTTAATACGTTGAAAATCAGATGATAGATTCTGGAATTAAAATTTACTCTTTTACTGTACGCATAATTCTATCGTATGATTCTACTACTCAATGAAGTTTCAATGGAGAAACAGAAATTAATATTTCGACCGCAATCCGATTCTTCTCACTTAATTCGTTTGCTTCCGCATCGTGATTGTAATGTGCACTGGAAGCATTAATATGGAATAGTAAAAAATAGTCGTTTATGACTCTGAGAACGAAATGAATATTCTGAAGTCGATCGAACAACTTACCCAATGTGAATAAACATATAGGTAAGATAGCGCCAAATTTCATAAGTTTTATGTGGGTTAAAAATCAGAGGTGATTTAATAGGTACAGGTCCATTGATTTCTATACCACTGTTCATATCAACAACGTAATATGCGTATACAGCTGTCTGAAAACATAATTTTCAAGTTACACATTGCTTGCAGCAGATGCTTTTTCCACAGTAATAAGCAATAGAAGCGTTCAGTTGTAACATTGAAATTGAATCATTGCGATGGCTCCAATAAATCTCGTTCAGTTTTCAAACTGTCAGGAGCAAAGGAAATTTTTACTGCACAGAGAATTGTTAACTGCAATTAAGTCGTTATACCATTGATTTAAATGAGAAATGGTTCATTCTCCCCGTGAATTTTCAGCTGCAAATGATGAATACCTGAATAACACTGATGAGTATCATGAAGACTGGTGGAGGTAAACATTTGTAATGTTGTAGGTAACTGTAGGATGCGAGACGATTACTTCTAGGCACAACCAATTGCGCAGCACGAAACATCACGCCTCTCATATGCATTCTCTTTGCTTTGCTCATCTAAAAATTGTTCGCAAATCATTAGTAGACTTCATTCGTTTGGTTACCTTTGGCAAATATGCACCCTTATAATGACCGTTCCTCTCTTCTTATTGCATCTGCAGCAAAATTTGTTGGATAGATAATATGGCAGGTCATTCAAACACGTAGATTGTTTTCATAAATGATCAAAAACGTGGGTATTTCCGAAATGCACATTTTACACAATTTTTTACCAGCCCTAAATTCATTCCCTCAATGATTCAGTGATGCTTAAACTGATCCTTGCGATGAAATTGTCTTACTTACTTGGCGATAAGCTTATTTTTGCTTTGAATGATCATTATACAACATTGGAAAACGAAAGGGGTTTTTGAAATACATTCAACAAAAACTCAGAACAAAGATCGCACCAGTTGACAAAATTCAGGAAAATCAACGAGATGATCGTTGTTTTTATCGACATTCATCAGTAGCGCATCAGCTTCTTCGGTCGTTAAACCAAACGAATACGCCGATTGACGAACGAATCTCCTCAAATCGTGCGTTGGAATATAGCCGTCGTGATTGGTGTCGAACTGCAATTCATCGCTCGGTTTTTGATCAGTTTTACTGGTAATTATTGGTTCACGGTTCATTGCTGATGTTACGCTTAAATAAGCACTGGTCACGCTTAAAATGACAACTGAGAACGCTTCATGAATCACTGAGGTACACCAGAGGATGAAGAGATGAACTGATGATGAGGAATGCTCGCAACCATTCAATGTAACTACTATTAAATTGCGATTACACTGATCCGTGATTTTATGTGGTCATTTCTTAAGTGATAAAGATGAAGAACCACACCGTTGTTTCTATCACCATAGATCAGTGATTCTGAACCTTTTTTCCCTTCGCACCCCCTAAAAAATTTTAAGCTGCCCTCGTACCCCCTCATCAATGCTCAAAATGTTCTCGCACTCCTTGCGACACCCACTCCGTATCTCTCATCCACCAAAATGAGTGTCCATGGTCTAGATAAGCATATACCTTCACAGTACGTTCTAGCCTTTTCAAGAATACATATGTTGAAATCCATAACTTTACACACACGTATGCGTTGAACGCTATCCTCCACTGCTTAACTGTATAAAAAATAAAACCTCAGTTTGCACTCTCTCCCGAACTGCTCACTCACCTCCCTTTCATCGCACTCTCTCTCGCACCTTCTGACAAGCCATCTCCCACCCTGGTTGAGAAATCTGTCATTGATGATATTATCATTTGAATTTACCAGATTGTTCTTATCTGAGCTGTTTATATAAATATTAACGCTACTGCTCTCACGGCTCTGGTCTCACAAAAGAAATGTATTTTTATTAGTGCCTTACAATATTCATTCACGGAATGTTCAGTTCGTGATTTCGATTTCGTTATCAAAAAATACCAGAACAGGATTTGACACTGACTAAGACAACAGTGGTTTACTATTCTGTTACAACAATTAGCTGATCGCTTTGCATTTACGTAGGTAAATTACTCGTCTATGATAGTTAATTATTGCTAATCGAATGAGAGTTTAACTGTCAAAAAATTATTTTTAATATTCAAAAAGTAGAGTTTATAAGATGTTTTGTTGAGTTTAACTCTACACTGTTTGAAGTTAGACTTTGTTGCGTTTTTTGTTTGTGAGAATTCTTTTCATAGTTGTCGAACGATGTTCGTGACAATTTTATTAAGGAACCATTTAGTGCAAAAATGAACACTTTCAACACTGTTTTCCAATCACATTTGAGAGCTCTAAAACTTTCAGTTGATCTGATAAAAACGCTAGATTTAACTCCTAGTTGTTAATAAGATAATGCTTGGAAATTGGTAATTCATTCACTGATCTTCATCGAAATATTCATCCCACAACAGTTATTTTCATTTCAACGATAAACTGAATAGATGGATTATGTTATGCATCTACCCATGAAGAAATTTTGGTTCGTTCAAAACGTTCACAACTTTTGAATACTGTAAATCATTCCGGTGAATTCAATTTCGAACTTGGCCAAAGGTCACCAATGAATATGAGATGTTTCTAAATCATGAACTCAGTTTAGGATTGCTATCGTACTGAGCCATGCGAGTTGTTTTCCCGTACAACTCACAATGAAGTTCGCTCTCATTAAAATTTGAGCTGTTCTACTCGAAGCACGAGCGAACTCCTGACTTTAACGTTTCGATGGATTCAAATGCGTGTTCCCGCTCAGTGCTGTTTTCTACTGGGTTGTCGGGACAATTCTCAAAGCGAGATTTCTTGCCCTACTTCTCAGAAGTATAATGTTGTGAAATAATTGATCGTCGAATAGCCAGCGCAACATTAATTTCAATATGTACTAATATCGATCCAAAGATATGCGGCTATAGCGACGTAAATATATGCAAAGCTTTTGATGATGTCACAGCAAACTTGAATATTCCATTACTGACATGATGGAAATATAACATGAGGCCACCTGAACAATCTTCAGAAGATATCTATTGATTTCATTGTTGATTTCATTTCATTTGAAAAGTTGAATGCATCTACAATAATATCGATTGGAAATTGATTACATACCGTTTGAAAGATTCTCAGCCATGAATCTCGTTCGAACGGCAAATCTCGTTGACTTGAATCCATTTCTCGGTCGCAGTTATTGAATGGTACAACTTTAGCTTAACGGCTGATATGAAACAGATTAATATGAGTGAAATAGAACGTGAGAATATCAAACAATAAAATATATTCGCGAATGATTTCAATCATCAAAGGTCAAACACGCATCGCTTTTAATACCATAAGTGTACATCCAGCACGATCACAGTCAACAATCTATTCTCTCTGATCTAATTTAATCTCTATCTTCGTGTGGAAAGACTTTGTTAGTTTGAGAAAATATGTAGGCACAGAGATATCATGGAACGGAATTTACCAACAAAATAGTGTGATGAATGCATCAGCTGAAGATTATAACGAATAAATTTATTTGAAACAGAGTATATACTTATATGATGATGTATATAAAGAATACTAGGTAGAAGTGGTTGTGCCGACGAGTGACGAACAGATCGCCGAGGAGTGCGCAGTCGTGACTCGCATATATTCAGTACACAAGCAGTGAATGAATGAATACACATGATAATTTAAAGTAACAACAAATTAAATGTACGTTGTACTATCTATTTGATGAGGAATGCAACGCTGAAATTTACAGCGAGTACCTTCTTCATTGTAATGTTGATGATGAGAAGAGGGCAACTTGGATCCGAGTTCATAATGTCGAAAAATGACAATAACCTCACTTATTGCACTTGACAAACTAACTGTCTTGGTGGACAAGTTTTCGCTCAAATGTAATGGAGGTCCTGGATGACGACTGAAAAGTAGCCATTCCGTTTTTGTAGGCAGAGACGGGACAATATATTGATCACTACAGAAACAATCCACAGTGTCGATGAAAAGATTTCAAGAAAGATGTACATCCGAACTGAGTTATCGGTTTGATTGTAGACGATGCAAAACAAACGAATCGCGCAATCAATTTTTCAAAACAAATTTCAAAACAACAAACAAGCAATATTTATCTAAACTAATATAGATTCAGTCTTTCCTGTAATGTTTATTAATCTCATCATCCCTACTCGATTTCCCTTTATGTATGTCATCCGAATGCGATATTTGCATACTTCGTTCTTCATTGCTTCTGGGCTGAATTTTTGCCTCTCCGAATAAATTCTTTAGTGGAGAGCTCTTATTAGTTTTCGAATGACTTGGACGCACGATGCTAATTGTTGAGTGGTAATCTTCATATGACATGCTGTTTTGATAATCCACTTACACACCGAAATAGTAGTCATTCTACAAAAATGATAATGTTGAACAGTCTTTGTTAAACAAACTAGCACTACAAATGTGCGGCATGAAAATTCTTCTCTGGGAACCCGCAAGGCTCCTATTGCTACACTTTGCTTGCGTTAATTGAATTGAATGTAGAAGGATAGTATCAGAAGAAGTACGATGAATCTGTATTTTAAAGACCATCGATAATTAGTTAACTCGAATGGCTCCGTTGTTCAGATCGCTGATCGCAGTGTTCACTTTCAATGTTTTGTTCTCCATTAGATGTTCCATCCTTGAATAAATTTCTGTTGAAATTAAAGACCACTCGCGTGAAATTAAGGACCACTCAATTAAGGACCAATCATTATTTATTAATTCGCGCTCACCCCATCAAGTTCAAGAGAGAAGTTAACTAGCTTAATGTAGGGTCAGAATGTAGGGCTGCAATTGTTGGTACTGAAATGAACCCACTTCAGAATGTCTGCTCAAATCGAGTACATGATCAAAGCTAAGGCACAAAATAGAGCAGTAAAATCCAGTGGAAGGTTGACATATATTCCAGATTCAAAAAATTGAATTGTTTCAAAACAATCCTGATTTTTCAAGTGGAACTGATCAGCACACATACCTTCGCATCTCTTATCCTGTTTGCGGAATCTTGAACCTGAAATTGCCCACTTCATTTAATGTTCCCACATTACGCCAGTGCACACATTCACTCGCTGATGTTTTTTACGTGTCTTATGCTGTTCTATTTCATGTTATAAGGCTCATAGAATTATGAATTGCAGCTGTGGAAAATCATTGCAAGAACTATTAAGATACGTTATGGCATTCAATTTCGGATTTTATCAACAGAGTAATTATTGAGCTCTGGCTTGGGCTCGAAACATTCTGTAGTTTCAAGTGTTCCTTACACAGAGAAGAAAGAATGTACTACTCAACTGACTGTTTCGTCAATAGAATTAATTCAGTACATTTTGGACATCTCAGAACTTCCCCGATTTCGAATATATCAAATATTGTTCTCCGTTTTTGGAGTCAATTGAACACCAAGAATTACTGAGTATGCTAGCAGTATATTATTGCATGCTATCTATCGTCTACGAATTAACTGACCAAATTAAGTGCAGGTCCAACATCAGTTTGACATTGTTCGAAGCTATGAAATCTGTCTCCAGTTGTCGTCGTAGCAGTTGTATGCTTCGGCACTGTTGATTGCTTTGTGGTGTCTGACTCAGAGGCAGCAGTTGTATTGACAGATTCGTTACTAAGAGTACGCTTTTCTTTTCCCTTTCGTAATTTACTCTTTTGATGACCGTGAATTTGCTCTCCTGTCGTGAATGTTATTATCGGCAAGTGATATACTGGGTCATCAGTTCCATCTGAAATACATATAGCTCATTGTCAGCAAAGACGGAATATGCTGGAAGAAATGCAGTTGGCCGGATCAAAATTTGGACATCGGCTTGCGACTGATACCAGCAGAGGGTTCACATCGGATTTATACATTGACGATCTCGTCTGCTATCAACTTGGATAGTTGCGATTTATTCTGATAACCTACCAGCAGAAGCAGATAAAATTTACTATTTTGAACAGCTGTTAAACTTTTCAATCAATGAAATTTACGAGAAACTTTATTTCAGGAAGCCAGCATCTAAGGTTTTTCAACAAGCTAGCATCCAAAGCTGGCATATGTGAAACAGCTTCGTATGCTCGAAAGCATATAATATTTTCTCAAGCTAGAAGTCACGCCCTGACACTGAATACAAGATCTGCCAAGCCGTCAACAAGATTCACGTTCGTCAAAGAAACATCGTAAACGAACCTAAGCATTTTAAACAAAGATTGCGCTCAGCACTCGAAGTTCTCAATACGCTAATGTGTACTAGTCTTACATTAATCCATGAAACCCGAAATCGCCCATTACGACTGAAATTCGTCCATCTACCTATACCTATGCCAGAATCTTCCATGTGAATACCACTCTCGTCCACCAGTGGACAATATCGCCCAAGTAAAGAACTCTCGGAGCAACTACTCAGTTTTATGTGATTGTGGTGATCAATCACTCTTATTCTCATTTGTAATAAATTTCAGTTTTGTATTTCATTTGCAAATCATTTAATCTTGCGGTATTTACTAGGAATTTCATCGGAACTGAGAATTCATACATTTTTCTGACTTCGGTGCTGGTTTATTGCGAGAGTTGCAAATTATAATTGAAACACTGATTGGCATTATTATTATTATCAACGTTGAACAACTGTAAAATTTCAGTGTTTCCTCGATTAATATGAGGAACATTCTTCCTGCAAATTCATTTCTTCAATAAATTCAGCCGACTCTTACCAACAGAAGCGGATGAAATTTATTTATTTCTTAATCTCACAAAAAAANACGAACTGGTTACTGTTTGATGACGTCAAAAATCTTTGCTCTTCCTTCTACTCGATATTTTGCCGGGTTGAACTGCACGACAGATTGGAGCTTAATACCCCTATTTATGGCTTCATCACCTTCTTTAATGGATGCACTAAGGAATTTTTGCCGCGAAAAATGATGAATCATCTGTGATGGTGAACACGGGAAACGAGATGTGCAAAGGTTTTGATGAATTAAACCATAAAATCTGAATATTCCGTGAGGTTAAACCCTAATTCAACAATATTCTTGAAGTGAACAAATTCATTCCCCCATTCTGCAAAATATGAGTGGGGAAAAGAACGTTACAAACCATCCGAACGTCCGTATGACCGCCCTGTCGTCGAACAATTCTAAAAATGAGCCAACGATCCAACGTTTTCTAATATTCTGGATCGCAGATGTAACACTTGAATAAATTGTTTCGAAACACGGAAATGAATCACTACAGTGTTTTCTGCATAAATTAAAACGGCTCAATGACTGGATAGAATTTTAATTCAATCGATAATCAATTTTCAAAGAGAGCAATGTCTTCAAAACATTATGAATTCACAATCAGTGTTTCTGAAAGACTGGAAGAGAGTAACGATTTCATTGACGAACATTCAAATTGCATCTTCACAAATTGTTTATGGAAATGTTTCGATTCGATATGTGTAACGAGTGGTGAACTCAAATGAAATTCTTTTCCTTAGTGAAAAGGTGACAAACTGCAATTTCACCATCATAAAGGCAATATTGCATTCACCCTTAATAAAGCAATCTCACAACGTCAGAACTGCATTATTATGGATCAGCTTATTTCATAATATCATATATACAAATAACAGCGGTTACATATATAAGCGAACAAATACAATAAAGGTGTTTCGATTCAAATAATGGAATGTTACTGATTAATTAATTATCATTCACTGCTGGTGCTTCTTTGAAATGTACCAGTTCAGCCATCTTGTCTGGAAACTGACTTAGTTCATCCAACGTTATGAAACCATCTCGGTTTTGATCTAAATGACCAAATGCTTCTTTTACGTGTTGCTCAGAAACCTGAAAGTGCTGACTTCGATGGACGACCAGTTTGTACGTTATCATTAATAATTGATCATGCGACGTTGACGTTTCATTCGGTGACAGTACAAACGATTAAAATTAAATGAGTAAATATTGGTGACTTTGGTGAAATAACTGCGAACAAAATTTGTCTAGCCGTCGGTTGAAGCAAGCGGCGAGTAATTAAATGGCAATCGAGTAATAAAGAATTGAGTGAATCAAACGAATACAATGAGCTTAAAACTTCCATTAATTTAGCTACACGAAACAAACCTTTGAGTTGATATTTGCGAAGGCATGAACCTCACTGACAACGAGCCTTTCATCGGAATTCGCATCAATTAAAGCTAGAAGTCGTTGAGCGTTTTCCTTGTTTTTCACTTCCTTCAAGCGATCAACAATGAAATTATAAAGTGCAATAAATGAACACAAAAAAAATTCAAAATTTTTAGTGAAATGATCGGTCTTCAATGGAACCCAATCGACAAAACTATAAAATTTTGCATTTCATGTGCTTCGTAATGTTCCCTCAAGGCTAGTGGCAGGTAAATGCACGGAGTGATATTATTATTTACATCTACGGTGAAGTATAATTGAACAAACCTTCGATTTTGGTTTATTCTCGTTTTCAATAATCGTCGCCAATTCCTTCAAAGTGATAAGTCCATCATGATCAATATCGGCTATTTCAAAAACACCTTCCATTATTCTGCTCATTATTGGATCGCCAGTTCTTTGTGACTCTTCGAGTGTTATTATTCCATCACCGTTCAAATCAATTTTCTGAAATTTGCGTAACTGTTTTGTCGAACCACCCGTTTAAATTCGCATTATTCGTGAATCATATTATCCAATTAGCTGAGTTTTACTGAGAGAATAAGTGACAAAACACCACTGAAATAAAAACATACAAAGAATAACTCAAATTTTGATCAATTCGTGAAGAGTAATCATTGTTGTGTTCATTTTAAACTTAAACACCATGAAACACAACACACCCTTGATCGATTGACATTAATAGTGAGCAAAATGCTGAATCAAGATGAATCCGAATTGAAGTTACCCTAAAAATAAGTTCTGTTTGACTGATTGGTTGTCGACCCAGTTCAACTGCAACTTGCACGAATTCAGCAATACTCAACGCTGAATCTCTGTTCTTATCGTTCTCTGCGAACAGTTGTCTCAGTTTCTGATCGTTTATGGTATTCGCTCTCGCTTTATGCCAGTGCTCAAGTTCATTGAACGTTACTTTACCATCTCCATCTTCATCAACACTCTCGAATCGTACCACTGAAAACAACAAAGTCGCAATGGAATCTCTCAGTTCGGTACTTGGTTATCTATCGAATATCCGTCCTGTGTTAAAACTCGAGGCATCAGAACGGATTTTTATATTGCGGTGCGGTAGTGAGATTAATAGGAATTGTGATCGCGTTGTCATTAGCCTTTTGTCAAAGCATTTATAAAGAACCAGTTGCTATGTGATAGCATCATTTTATGTTCACCGAACAGTGTGCAAAAGCAGAATTAATTCCGAGTTTGATTTCCTGATCAGCTGATTAATTTCATGACTTTTTAAAACCAAAGCAACATCCAATTCAAAAGAAACGACCCTTAATTGTTCGAACGAACTTCAGCATCATAGATTTTTACTTGTTGTCAAAAGTGGGTAAAGGACCTCATCGTTGACCAAAGAGGTTAGTTTCGATACATAACGTTCGGAAAAACTAGAGATGACCCCAAGACACCCACCACTTTCCTTCGCCTAAAAATGAGACTAAACCTGATTCAAATGGATGAGGCTTAATAGTCGAAAAGGTGGGCACTTAAAAAGGATCTGTTCGGTTTTCGAAAATGCCGTTTTTGATGGATTTTGGGTGTGATATATGTAAGAGCTAAATTCATTTTCATACACTGAGCTATCAATGCTATAAGTGATAGAATGGAGTGAGGTTGTAAAGGGTTAAAAGATCAATTGACCATAAGTCCACTCATCCTACAATACCTATTTGATTATGAAGTGTGATAATCAAGTAAGCTTAAAGCAATATCTTATGCTCGTTATGAATTCAGATAAATAGATAACGATACCGCAAACAGATATGCACTTTGCGGACAGCAGAACTGAAAGATTGAGTTAAGTCTAAGGAAATGCTTCAATAATGCATCGTCTGGAAAACATGCGATCGCAGCAACATGTGTGGCTTTAGGCATTCATAATTGCGAAATCGCACTGAAACGGAGATAGATACACATAATCAATAAATTCATTTCAAAGCAGTGAAGAAATACCGTGATCGTCGTTTGAAGTTGTTGCTGCTGCAATGCAAATACCGAACAAAGTCAGTGTAATCAGCGATTGACTGAGCATATTCTGTTCTCCTGTAAATATTTCGAATGGTGCATGTTATTGTTTCTTATACAACGGTCAGCTTTTTCTACTGAGATATTGATTGCATGATAACTTTCCAAGAATCGAAAATGTCGTCAGAAGTCGTAATAACGAAGGATATCAACGGCATACATAATTCCGCATGAAATTACTGTTGAACATTTTCGGAAAGCATTTCATAAAAAGAAGCAATTAGTGAAGAAAAAAAGTTTGCTAAATCATGCTGATCGTGCAAACAGAATGGACGGCCAGGTCACTTCAGTTAGTATGAATGATCGCAAGGTATCGCTAACGATACGTATATCTATTAATACTGCACAGTCAGTTCCAAAAATTAAACGAAACAACATATCAGAATTGAAAAATAATAGTAAAATTGCCTAGTAATTTGGCTATTGCTCCACCAAAGTGATGGAAACGAGCACTAAGGTGTAGAAATTGCTGACGAAAACATCAGAAAAGTAATGACAAGTTATAACCATAAATACAAACTAACAATCAGCTTTGAGCATTAAGGTGCGGTCATTCCTAATAAAATGTAACCTTTAGAACACTTGAAAGATGGGACGGATAAGCAGTTGGATTATTATTGAATGCGATCAAATGTTGTTTGAACGGAGGCTGAGATTTATCGGAATTAGAGTGAATGGTGCGAATAAATTGATACTTCAATCGTAAAGAGATTGGTCTGATGAATAATGAAAAAAGGAATGTTCAGAATTATGAATCGCCTCAGGCAACAGGATTTTCTGTTGATGTGAATTGATGTTTTCACGTAAGATTGCTCATCTGAGAAGAACTCGAATGTTTTCACATAGCGATCAAGAGAACGAGCAACTCGTAATGCAACATGAAAAAATCATTCATATCGCAGAAATGTGCATACGTATGTAATGAAAGATGAACGATAGATAAAATAACCACAAAACGATAATGAGACATAAGAGATGATTGAATAAAACCAGCTTTTTGAATGTGTTGCACATGCGTTGATTGATCGTATATGAGGACTGGTTTCATGAAAACATTCCAAAAACTTTCAAACAACGGTAGTGATTCATAATTTCTTATGAAAATCCCTTCAGAGATTGTGAAAATCACCTCCCTCCTCTGACTGCTGTCGTTGCTTTGGGGCAATT